CCTGGCTTCTTTTTTTTTTTTTTTAAACCACTTCCTAAACTGGGAAGAATTGGGTCTTAGGCACCTGAGAAGTCACCTTTTTCTAGGGTGACTAGGACCCTCAGTAACAGAGAGCAGTCTCCATGACTAGATAGCAAGAGTTGCAGGAGACTTCGTAACTAGATATTACAACCCTTTCTGCAAGCTATTAGACACCTTAGGTTGGCTTGTCATTTACGATTTCTTATTTTAAGTCAAGGTCTCACATTTGTACTGATTCAGTTCCTCCACAAAGCCCTGAAGTTTCATGACTTCTTTTCTTCCTATTGATCATGTATAAGCACCCGGTGTGGCTACAGTCTCACTACTTCCCTGACCCCCAGCCCACAGATATACCTGACATGCCATAGGGAAGAACCTGCTTCTCTCTGGGCAGCAGCAGATCCCCACCTTGGCTTCATATTCTTGAATATGGCTTCTCACATGAGTTTCAGGTCTTCTCCAAAGTATCTGTAATGGGCAATCTTAGAAGCAATCGGAGCTGTCTCCATCTTGGGTACTGTTCTGGCTGCCACATACCATTGATGGACAAGTTTGCACAATGAGCCATGCTGACCTGCAGCTGGCTGCTCCGCAATTCTCCTGCCCAGGTCAGGAGCCCCATAGCTGCTATGGGGAATTGTCACTGTTCTCAGAATTGGTTGGGTTTTAAAATATGAACCCCATTTGCCCTGTTCTCAGCCTTCAATGACTACATTAGTCACGTAGGTAGCCTGAGCTTCCCGAGAAGAGACAAGAATAATACTGAGAGCTCTGAAATAAGCAGGATAATTCTTGGCATTCATGCAAGCTGAGTGATCAAATGCTGCCTGCATTGCAAAAAGCACGGCGATTTTAGTGAATTGCCCAAACGTTTTACAAGGGGCTAAAAGGCATGGTTTTGAATACTTTCTGTACATATATCTACTCAGAGTGCATCCTACTGAAAGGTTCTTAATAGACCCTGCCCTTTTTTTTCAGTGCCCACTGTGAGCTGGTTATATGTGGGGGCTTTGTAACTATTACATTTAAGCTAAAAACTGTTCCTACTTGATAGAAGACAAAACTGAAGCTTGCTGAGGTTAAACCACCTTACTAAGATGAAAACTTTCTGCTATGGCCTTTCAGAAATGCACACAGCAAATAAGATTAATGAAAAAGTCTCTTATGAAAAATTATTTGGAAACTACTGAAAGCAGTTCTGTGACAGACAGATTCCTCCAAAGAATAAGAACCACTGAGAAGAGCCTGCCTGACAAACTTGATAGTGAAAAGATGTCCCATTAAAGATTTTACCCATGGTGTGTGTTCCAAGAAACACCAGTGGCTAAGGGCTGTTGGTCAAACTCAAAGAGTGTTGGTTTCCTTACCTCTTTCCTCATGTCATACACAAGATCAGGCTAATGGCTCCCATAGGCCCAGGAGCAAAATGTGAAAATTTGGGGGGCAAAATTTGTCACTTAGATTCAGTCATTGTCTCCAAGGTACCTACCCTCACCAGTATCTTTTGTTTATAGTACTGGTGTTTGAACTCAAGACCTTTCATTTGTTAGGCAGGCGCTCTCCCACTTGAGTCATGCCCTCAGCTCTTCACAAGACTCTTCTTAATGCAGCTGAAATTGTATAGAAAGTTGCCCTGTGCTTTACTGGGGGTGACAGGTGGTGAAAGGAGTTGACTCTACCAAGCTATTGGTTGCTCTCCACAGTTACTGACCTATAGGCTCTAAGATATCTTCCATGGACAACTCTGTAGACATTTTAACTTGGTCTTTCAATTCTTTGTCATGTCACAGAATGACTAAATAATAGTCCATATAAAGTAGAGTGAGTTTTCCTGTTTTATTACCCTGGGATGCTACTAAAGTACCTGTTTCCAGCCTCAATCAAGTACATAAAGTAACCCCTGTGAATTCCTCTTTCTCAAGGATCCTCGGAAGTTTGCTCTTCAAGAATTAGCTGAGTGTTAAGAGGAGCAGAGTGATAAATTTTCAGATTTGGATTTTGCTGGAAATTGGCTGCTACTGCAGAATTTACACCAGGGAAAAGAGCAGATGCCACTCATTCCCCAGAGCCAGTTGTAGAGATGGTCTTGATCGGCACTGGCTGTGGCTGGTTCTCCCACTCCCTGGACTCTGTGGGATCCGAGCCTAGGAAAGGCTTCTTCTTTGCCCTTTTTGGAGGCTGCTGACCTCTCTGATATACTGACACGGACAACAAAGGTGTTAAGTTTGAGTTTTAGCCAACTTAATGCTGTTTGGCAGAACCAGAGAGGGCCTTGGAGTTTAAAAACTACCAGTTTTATTGTTATCTGTGGCCAGGGGCCTCCAAGAGGGAAGTGAAAGTGAAGGTTCTAGGACCAGTTTTGGGAGTCCATCTCCAGGTGGACCTGCCTTGCTATGGTGACCTTTTCCTATGTGAGTAGCCACTGGACTATGGATTGATTTTAAAATTAAACCATCTGTTGCCTTAAGATAAGGTTCTGTGTCCTCAGAATGCTGGGAACCAGGCCCTGTGCCATGTTTTGGCATATTGGAATGAAGGATTCTTCATGATGAGTGACATTTTCTATTTGCACTTTTATGAGTATCGCTGTCAAGCACTTGCACGTGGCCAGTATAAACAGAGCTGAATTTTCAACTGTAACTGATTGTGAGCTGGAGTTTCAATAGCCACATGTGCCAGCAGTCACCATACTGGACAGAGAAGCTCCAGGGCTTTTAGAGATAGTGTTGGGTGCCAGTCTGTGTGCTGAGATGGATAGTGTGTGAGTGCATTCATGTTGAATTCAGACATGAGGCATTAAGTGTTCTCAAGACCCCTTCTCCTATCCCAAACATTGCTGACTAGACCTGGTTCCATTGAGGTACATTTGTCACTAAGCGAAACATACTCCAAGGTTACCTGTGTAATTCTCACTCCCCATTGCAGAGCAGAGATCTCCAATTTACAGATGGAGTAATGAGGCACAGAGTAGTTCAGCATTTGCCTAATTGGTCACAGCCAGAATTGTCATCCAGACCTGCCTTTACTAAGCTGGGCAAGGAACCCAGAGGACCTCATGGTAAACAAAGTTCCAGCCTCGTTCTCATAGTATAAGAAAGGCCAGCAGAGAAGCATGGTTTTTCTTTCAGTAATGTCTGTGGGTGTTCAGCATCACAGGTTTTGAATTAGGCACACACCCCTGTGAATATGCACATTAGCACACACGTTGGTTTTATAATATTTGGGAAATTTTATTTCTTATTTGGCAATATTGCTGTCTTTTTCTGCTGTCTGGCTCACGTCACTACCAGCTATATCAAAATTATCAAAATAATGCCAAATACTGATCAGGTTGTTGCTTTGGCATTTTTTTTTAAATGCTGAGAGTTTGAACCCAGAATCTCATGCATGCTAGGCAAGTACTCTACTACTGAGTCATATTCCTGGCTTGAACTTTCAATTTCTTTTAATTTTTCACATGGGAATGTAACCTACTGATCAACAAATCCCTGATGTAACACTCCTCTCCAGTGTGTTGCATTTGGATAATATGTACAGATTTGAGAATCAATGACTGAGATGGGGTGAATATGGAGATGGGATCCCAAGTTGGAACAAGGCTTTCTGAAATTTCCATCTTCCTGTTAATTTCCTGTTAGTTGCTTTTGCATTTGGCTAGCAAGTCTTTTTGCTTAATAGCATCTACTGCAATTTTCCTGTTTAAATTGAAGGTGGGGTGGTATTGAAAATTAGCTCCTTTTGTAGATAGGCCACCTGCACTCGGCTGAGCGGCTAAAAGCCAGGGCAGGACGCATACCAGGTACCCTGTCATTGGAGCCAGTGCTGTAGCCTTTTCTCTTGCTCTGGAATGCAGAGTTTGTTTCTTCTCTGTTACCTACAAAAAGCTTACACTGTCTAATTCAACCACAGTGAGCCTTTTGAGGAGCTCTGTGCCCAGCGCGGTCTCCTACCCTGATAATGCATTGCCTGGTCTACCTTCTTCACGCTGCTGCCAGTCTACTTCACCTACCGAATGAAGGGTGCAGCAGAGCACTGCCTCCCATCAAACCTCCAGAACACAGGCTGGAGGAAGTCCAGCTTCCAGATGGAATGGGATGGAAAAGACTTGGCAGTGCAGATAAAGGCTGGTGAGCCATAAGAACTGTTTGGAGAAGCAAAGGACCACAGCAGCGTTGGCAATTTCTACCAGCCTCACCCTCAGCCTGGTCCATAGGGGGTCTTTTCAGCTAGCAAGTTCAATAACTGGCTTATCCTTAGCTCATTTGTTTCAAAAGTTGCTGCTGCACAGTTTCAACTTTGAAAGACACTTAAGTCCAGCAAGCTCTTATCACTGTTATATAGTGTGGGCTGTGAACTTCATAGCTGTCTTTCTCTAGCCCAGCTGGATACACAGAGGACAGAGGTCCGTCTTCTAATCATACACAAATAGGGCTCATCTAAGTTGGGGCACTTCTTCTTTGTGTTCCAGGAAAAGGATGAAAAATATATTGCCTATTATATAAACCATATATAGTCCTGAATATCAACGTCATTTCAATTAGCTATTTTAAGTTCATAGTCAATTGACTTTTTTTCCTAATGCCACCTGAATTTTTTTCTCTTCCATAATATGATCCCTAAGGGGCAAGTATCTTATTTAGACGTTTTCGACTGTCATATGTATTACATGTTATCACAATCCTAAATATCTAGTCATAGATTTAAAGGAAAGATCCATGAGTTCATTCAAAATACAGGTATGGTTTGAATCCAAGGCCAGACAGGTGAATGCTAGCCAACAAGTATACCTTGAAGGTGAGCATGGTGTGAGGCCTGGCCTTTTAACACATCTGTCACCTGTGCAGCTTGCATGTCTTTAGACGATAGCTGCTCGTGGAAATGCTGGCTTTAGTTTCCGCATGGATTTAGATTTGGGGAATATAGAGGGACCCTTGGGTGATGAGCCTACAAAGCACGCAAGACACAGCAAACATACATACCCTTCCCGGTGAGCCTCTCCTTTCTCCAGCTCCTGAATGACCCCCAAGAGCACTTTGATGGTCTCCTGACTTGAACTGATCAAGTTCTCCATCACCTGAAGCTGGGCCTTGAGGTCCACCACTTCCGTGTGAGGCACAATTTGTTGGCAATCTTTGCTTGCTGCCATGGCTGAGGGACTGGGCTGGGTCTCCAGGGGCTGTTCGCTACATTCAGGGGACAGGCACGGCACTGGGGGCGAACAGGCCACAGCAGAGCCCGGGGGCCTCTGCAGCCCGTTGAGATGGGCAGCTCTCCTCTGCTCTTCCTCCGCAGGGCAGAGGGACCACTGGCTGGCTGCGGCAGAGTTTGACAAGCCAGGCTCAGGGGCGCTGTCCCTGATGGCAGGCAGGTATACAGTGGCAACCTCTGTTTTAAACACCCTCCCATGGGCAGGTGGAGTGGGCTCCTCGGAGTCCAGAGTCCCCCTGTCGGGCTTCACTCTCCCCTGTAGCTGGTGAGCAGGCTCTTCGGAGGGTGGCCCAGAGTTCTGGAGCAGAGCTTCTGAGTGGCCGAGCATGTCGGGGGTTTTGCAGGGTTCTGCACAGTTGACCCCAGAAGGCTGCTCCACTGCATTCACATGCTCATCGGAATGGAAAACCAAGGCGGTGGTCTTGTGAACCCGCCCAGCGCCACAAGGTCGGGGGTCTTCCGTGGGTCCAGCCTCACCCTTCTCTTTCATATCTGTTAGAAACCCATTGTTTTGGCTTTTGTAGGGATCCACACCTGGGATGCTTTTGAGATTCCCTTTCTTGCGGTCCAGCGGGAATGTCTGGTAACACTTGCGAAGGTCCGGTGAGGTCTGCACCCCTGTGCTCTTGGTGACGTTGGGGATGGAGCGGCGCGCAGGCACTGTCATGTACTTGCGGTAGGCTGCCCTGCAGGACACAGGCTTGACCTCCCGCTTCTCACCCACTGGTCCTGAGGACAGCTGTGTGTCCCTCTGCTCATTCTGGGCCTCACAGATATCCTTAAAGCGCACCTGCAGGGCTTTGTTTCGCTTCTTAATCTGCCGGTTGGGATCCAGGGCGTATTTCATCTCCAGGGCCAGGCAGGCGGCTGGCTCCACTTCGCGCTCGGGGGTCGTGAGGCTGCATTTGCCGGAGTCCTTGCTGACCATGGTTCCTGAATGCAGAGACAACAAGAGGCGTCAGTGGTTCAGAAATACACGCAAACACAGCCACACGGACTTCCAACCAAATTAGGCTGCCGGCTTCCTAATTATTTTTAAACAGGTGAGGTCGGCCTTTGTGTTAAGGAAAATCAGACAGGCGGGGAGTTGCTGCCAGGCACAGCGTGAAATGCTTCTCAGATATTAAAGCCTGCTTTTTTTTCCATGTGGGGTACACTCGTTTTTCTTTTGATAGTAACGCATGTTTCCCCATTAGACAAACCTGGTTTACTGTATTCATCAGGAAGCCCTCAGTGATGCCGCCTGTCTGCTTTGCAAATTGTCTTTCACATGCATGTCTCCACGTCAGAGGCAGATGGTTTACCAAATGCAACTTACTTGGTTTAGGGTTTTTACTACTTTTTGAGGATGACGTGATTAATCTATTATTGGAATTCAGGAGAGCTGCTGTTTTAAAGATTTAGTGAAGATTCTAATCTCGAGCAGATAAGTGGCGGGCCCTGCAGTGAGGAACTGCTGGAATGAATGTTGAGGTTAGCCATCCTGAATTCTGTGGGGAGCTGACCACACTCATGGGAATGCCACCAAGAATAAATCATAGAGGAGCAGTTGGTATCTCATGGGTTAACACCAGTCATAAAAAACGACCTGGGTTTTCCTGCATCTACTCTTTTCTTTGATTCCCTAGAGAGTGGTAGTTGAAAATACTTTAAAAAAAATAGAAGAAATTATTCATTCTAGAATCAAGTTTTGTGTTTTGATCACAACCTCTGAAAATGAAAACAATGGTAGTTGTTTCAGTATTTAAATCCTGAAAGAAAATAAAATCATGAGGCTTTATGTTAATCATGCAAATTCATCCTGCACTGAATTATTAAATGCAGCTAGAGAGATGCAGGTGGCCCATGATTCCTCTTGGGGAATACCAGTGGGGTAAATGCCTTCACTTTATTAGGCAGATTCACAGCTGCCTAGTGCACATGGAAGAGCTCTCCTCCAGGCTAAACTTAAAGCAGAAATCACTTAAGCATGTTGCTTGTGAGCTGCCCTTTGCTGTACCCCTTGCCTTTGAGAAAAATAGTCATCTGGGAGGGATAGGGCTATGCAGCATCCTGGCATCTGGAGCCAAGTGTCCAGGAAGACAGTACAGCTGGGCAAGAGCTGTACTGTCTAGCCCAGAGTCCACAGACCTCATGCCCTATCCTTGGGGGCTGGGGGTGAGGGTGGCGGGGAGAGAGAGGGTAAGAGCCCAGCACAGAGACTTGGAACAGCAGCCATGACAACTGTGATGCTTGTGATGCTTATGGGGTCAGAGAATCTGTGGGCCAGATGTTCAGGTAGTCTATGCAAATGTCCACAAAGGTCAGTGCCCTATCCCCATTTCACAGATGAAACTGGGGTTCAAAGAGTTCATGCCACTTGTTCAACATTATTGCAAGTGAGAAACATAGGCAACACCCAGTTTCACCAGATCCCAAATCAACACTGTTTCTAATAGAACCAGATGTCCAACACAGAGGCCCAATGCCTCCAAAACATTCTCAGTCCCGGTACTGCAGGCCAGCAGGCAGGATAGGTCACTGAAGGGGAAGAAGAGAGAAAACTGCACAGCTCCTGCCTGAGAGCTTTTTACAGGACTGATCTACTCTGTAGCCGGCCTCTTCCATTAAATTGACCTGTGTATCCCAGGCCACGCGGTCCTGCCACCTCTCAGGCTGCCACCAGTGCCCACTGAATGTAAGGCTCAGAGGAAAATCAAGTTCTTTATACTTTATGCTGAGTGATTGTGTTTGGGGATAACAGAAAGTAATGTCTTCATCCTCTGATTCAGTTAAGAACAGTTTATCACTTACTGCACTACTGGTATTTTAGACTAGACTCCTCACTGTTGGAGGCACTCTCCAGTACAATGCTCTGTGGTGGTAAGCAGCCCTGGCTTCTAACCACAGAGAGAAGGAACATGCCCTTCTCCAGGTGCAACAGCTAGAAATGTCTCAGACATTGCCAGATAAGCCAAGGGACATCACTGCTTTGGTTTGAGACCCCTGCATTAGCCTTCACCCCTGGATGCCCAAGGGTCCCACTTCATTGCTGCAGAGTGTGTCCTCAAAGGCAAGACTTGCAGAGAAAGCAAAGGGAGGTTTGTGGTTCTTTTCTAGGTCCTGGAAATATTTGCAGACCTCTGTAATCTGAAACTCCACCTACAGGGCAGTTTTAGAGAGGAGAGAACAGACCAGAGGTACAGCAATACCTTGGCTTATTCTGCAGAGGACAAGATTATATGTGGTGGGTGGAGCAAGGCAAGCCTACTAGCAGAGATAAAATATATCTTTCATAATCACTTATCCCAAAAGGTTAAAAAGATGCACACAAAAGAAGCTGGTGTGGGGGAAGAGTATGGGAAGCTGGGAGCATAATAAGAAAATTAAATCTTAACCCTCATTCTTATCTTGCATCCATTCTTTAGCTGTCCTGCTGTCCACATATGTCAGAATGTATTGTGCCATCATTCTACAGAAGACCTTCATACTAGGGGAAATTTGAAAGAGAGAGCATTTTTGCAAAAAACCAATTTACTAGTAATTTTTCAGCTTTTTTGCTGCCACTACTGAAAAATGTGTGTCTGAATAAGTTTGTCCTGCCATCCTATCCATCATAACGATTTCCCAGGAACTGCACTGAAATAATGTTCTTACATCACTCTGCTGGTTTGGAAAGATATTCTGAGTGTTGGACCCAACCATCAAACGCATAGGACAAATCTGAAGAATTAATTGCTGGTGACAAAACAATAATAGTAAAATAGTTCTAAGCTCTTCTCTCCTTTATGGAGTTATTTAGTACATAAAACTCATTTCTTCATTAGAAAAATTGAAAGTTAATATTTAGGGCTGTTTATCAGTTTAGTTTGTGGAGAGTAGTAATCATTGAGTTGACATGATTTTCCTGATAGGGAAGACACCTAGAACTTGTGTTGTGGATTGATTTTGACTTCTATTTGAGGCTGGATGACATTTTCTAAAGCTTTTGAATGGAATTTTCCTGGATATTAGGAATTGCTTAGGTGAACACATCTTTGCAGGTCTTCATTGGCCTTCAGTTGTGGTGAAGAGGGGATCAGGCTTACAGAGATTATTACTAAGAAAATGATTTTGTTCAGAAAGCAAAAGGTAGAGTCTACAGAATAGTGTCCATGAGACGAGTGGAACCATGTCACACACTGGTTCATTCATCATTCCTTTATGTGTCCATTTAGCAAATGAAAGTACACGTTCCCATGTCACATTAACATTCTGCCACATGTGATACACTTCTGTGTCCTAACCAATCTCAGCCTTCCCCTGTGCACGTCACTTGCATTTTCTCATTTGGCCCCCATAACATCCTCATGGGGCAGGGGTGGGGGGACTGTCCTTATCAGCACACTGTAGACAGAGATTATGAAGCACATGTTTGTTTCTTGCTTGGAGTCATCCAGCTAATGCAATAGTCACCACATCCATGCAAGGAACTGTGTCACTTGAAGAGACCCTTGGCCATCTTCAAAAAGCATCTAACAGCTAAGACTCAATTTTCTTGGCCTGTTTCCATGATGTACCCGGAAGCTGTTCTGTTAGAATTCATACCTGGCCTGGGAGCACAGACTGTGGGAGGGTTGCCTTGAAGTCTAGATTGAGCATGAAACCCCAGTGGCATTATAACCATGGCTTCCCTGGCCAGGTCACCCCCTTGAGCTATGGACTGTAGTTCTTAGAGTTAGTTTCATGGCCCTAGACCAGCAGGAGTTAGTGCTGTTCATTTTCTCTAGGCAAACTGTCTATGGTCTGTGTAGTGTTGAGGTGAAAGTGGCAAGTCATGTTTGCACCCGTCTGATTTCAGGGAGAGCTAGATGTCAAGGAGCTATTTGGAATATTAATGTCTTAATTACTCTCAAACAAATTTCATAATCAAAGGTGAGTTGCAAATAAATAAAGCCTGTATTTTTAGATTAGTGAGAAAGAGTTATCTCTGCATACTGCTTTAAATTAATAGCTTATATAAAAGTGTTCATCCCAACTTAAAAAAAAGAAGTGAAAATTGAAGCAACTAAATGCCTAACAATAGATAAACAGCTAAGTAAATTATTGGGTACACTCACTCAGTGTGGCCATTAAAATTATAGTTATAAAGATTATTTAGTATCACAGGAAGACACTTATGAAATAAAGTAAACAAATGTAGTCTACCAAATTTTCCTGGAGAAAATGAACAAAAATGGTCATTGTTGTGGTATTAAGATACTATATGTGGGACATTTGTTTGTCCTTATGTTTTTCAATTGGGGGGGTGGTAGAAAGAGGTACAGTGTTGTTACTTTATCTTTGTCAATTAAAAAAACAGGGGGCAAAGGTAATCCACACCTTGGGCAGGACTCTATAAAAGTGTGAACTCTTGTCAGAATGAGAAAAATCCAGAAAGGATTAGGTTTGGGTATAAGCAGGCCCCAAAGGCCAGCTTTTCTTGTTTTGAAGAAGGTGTGAATAAGAAAATGAATTTAAAGTACAAAGCTGTTGAAATCACATAAGAAGGGGACTAAGTTAGAAAGAAGAAAAATAGAGGAGATGAACCAATTCGGGTTATAATACATATATACATGGAAATGTCACAAGGAAACTCCCTCTGTAACTATCTTAAACAAACAAAAATGTCATTTTTTTCTTTTACAAAATTGGAGAACAGGAGGGTAGAACAGGTCCTGCTTGGGGGGTTGGCACCAGTGGGAGGAGGGAAGAGGTGGGGAAAGGGTGTGGGAGGGTGAATATGGTGCAAATACTGTGTACACGTGGATGTAAATGGAAAAATGAGACCTGTTGAAACTGTTCCAGGAATTGGAGGAGGGAGGATAAAGGAGAATGATGGAGAAAGTGAACTCAACTATGATGTATTTAATATATTGTAAGAACTTTTATAAATGCCACAATGTATCCCAGTACAATAAATTAACAGTACATGTATATGTGCGTGTATGCCTAGCTATACACATACAAATGTGGAGCTATGTATGTAGACAAGAATAGATGGATTGAGATAGTGTTT